ATAGTTCTAGAAGGAGAGAAGAAAGCAAAACAGAAGGAGAAAAATGAAATATGACTAAAATTTGCTCCTATTTTGTAGAAGGTAGATTTGCAATTCAAGAAACCCAGGGAGGGGCGCCTGGGTGGCGCAGTCGGTTAAGCGTCCGGCTTCAGCCAGGTCACGATCTCGCGGTCCGTGAGTTCGAGCCCCGCGTCAGGCTCTGGGCTGATGGCTCGGAGCCTGGAGCCTGTTTCTGATTCTGTGTCTCCCTCTCTCTCTGCCCCTCCCCCGTTCATGCTCTGTCTCTCTCTGTCCCAAAAATAAATAAAAACGTTGAAAAAAAAAATTAAAAAAAAAAAAAAAAAAGAAACCCAGGGAAAATTAAGCAAAATAAATACAAAGAAAACAGGCACACTATAGTGAAACTGCTGAAAATAAAAATACTGGAAATAGCATACATACTTATCAACAAATAGACAAATTATATACAAGGGAATAATTTGAACAATTGACTTTCCATTAGAAACAACAGAAGCCAGAAGACCACGGAACACAGTGTTCTAAGAAAAACAGCCAATCCAGAATTCTACAGTGAAAACATCAAGAATGAAAGTGAAATAAAGACATTTTCAGGTAAAAGAGAGTGAAGAATTAGTTCCGAGATTTCACAACAGAGAATGCTGAAGAAAGTTCTTCAGGCTGAGAAGAAATGATAACCAGATGAAAATGTAGATGTTTAGGAAGGAGTGAAGAGTGGAAGTAAATATTTTTTGATCTACTTTTTTTTTTTTAAATTAGAGGATAAGTTTATTTATTTTGAGAAAGAGAGAGGGAGAGCGAGAGTCCCAAGCAGGCTCTGTGCTGTCAGTGTGGAGCCCCACGCGGGGCTTGAACTCACAAACATTGAGGTCATGGCCTGATCTGAAGTCAAGAGTTGGATGCTTAACTGACTGGGCCACCCAGGCACCCCTCTTTTGATATCTTTAGAAGAGCATATCACTTGTTTAAAGCAAATTTATACCACTGTATTTTGGGGTTAATAGCTTACAGATGTGAAACATGGCAACTATAACAAGTACAAATAACTGAAACACTGGAGGGGTTCAACAAGCTGTAAGCAGGCAGAAGAAAGGATCAATGAATTTGAAGAAATGGTAGGAAAACTGGGTATCCAACCACATGCAGAAGAATAAAGTTAAGACCTTTACCATACACAGAAAAATTAAAGTGAGTTGAAAACAAACTCAAGAGCTGCAACTATAAAACTCTTAGAAGAAAACCTAAGGGAAAACCTTCATGACATTGGGTTTGGCAATGAACTCTCAGATAATGATCACAAAACCACAAGCAACAAAATAAATTGGTCTTAATCAAAATGAACTCCTTGTGCATCAAAGGACAATTGAAAGTGAAAAGACAACCCATGGAATGAAGGGAAATATTTGCAAATCATACATCTGATAAGGGATTAGTATCCAGAACACAGATCTCCTACAATTGAACAATGTAAACTTAATTCAAAAATGGGCAAAGGACTTAAACACACATCTCTGCAGAGAAAGTACACAAATGTCCAATAAGCATGTGAAAAGATGCTCAACATCCCCAATCATTAGGTACATGAAAATGAAAGCCAAAGTAAGATACCACTCCACACCCATTAGGATAATTATTACAAAGACAAAATAAGGTTTGGTGAGGACGTGAAGAAAATGGAGCCCTTGTTCATGTCTGGTAGGAATGAATGTATAATGTTGCAGCCACTGTGGAAAACAGCTTGGTGGCTCCGCAAACATATGTCCCAACAATTCCACTCCGAGGTATGAGCAGGGACTTAAAGATAATCTGTACAACAATATTCCTAGCAGCATTATTTGCATGAACCCAAAGATGGAAACAACCCAAGTATTCGTCAACAGATGAATGGATGGGGTACCTGGCTGGCTTGGCAGAGCATGTGACTCAATCTTGGGGTCAAGGGTTCAAGTGCCACTTGGGGCATAGAATATACTTAAAGCACAGATGAAAAGATAAAACATATATTCATGTTATTCAGCCATAAAAGGAACAAAATTCTGGTATAGACTACAACATGGAGGAGACTTGAAATATGCTGAATGAGATAAGCCAGTCATAACAAGACAGATACAGGATTCCAATTATGTAAAGTACCTGAAACAGGCAATTTGTAAAGATCGTAAAATAGAGCATACCAGGGTCTGAGTATGGAGGAAATGGGGAGTTACATTGTTCAATGAGTATGCAATGTCTGGGCTGATGAGAAACTTCTGGAAATAGTGGTGATGGTTGCACCAGATTGGGAATGTACTTAACGTCAGTGTATTGCCAACCTAAAAATAGTTAAAATGATTTTTTTTTTTTTCCCTAAAGAAAGGCAGACTGCCACATGGAGTGCTTCATTTGGCTGTGTCTGGAGTTTTGGAAGCTTGACTACCTTATGTTTTCCTGCAAATGGACCTTGAAAACTTGTTTGAAGGTTCTAGTGAGTGTGGCTACTCCTATACCCTTGATGGAGAATGGTCCTCTTCCATCAGGGAAGGTTGTCTTCTTTGGGTGCCCAGCTTTGGGAGGGATACACATGGAGTGGTGATGGAGGAAGGGGACACCTGCCTACCCAGGCAGGCCAACTGAATCAACCTTGGTGATCAGTAGGGTGAGAGATGGCACAGCCAGGTTGCCCCCACGTCCTAAACCGAAAATTTGTATTTATATTTTGCCACAGTGAGATAATTGAAAAGAACTGTCCTCTACACTCAATTTTGCTTTGCTCCTTCACTTTCCTACATTTCCAAGCTCTCACCATGTTTATATTTAAAAATGGAAATGACTGCATGACTCTCTAGCTTTCAGATAGGCTATAATGGAATTTAGGTTATTTCCTTGTTTCTTTAGTGTTTTGGTTGTTTACCAGTCTTTGCCTTTTTTTTTTTTAAATGTTTGAGAGACAGTACGGGAGGAGGGGCAGAGAGAAGAGAGAGAGAATCCAAGCAGGCTCTGTGCCATCAGCCTGGAGCAGCCTGACATGGGGCTCCATCTCATGAACCATGAAATTGTGACCTGAGCCAAACTCAAGAGTCAGATGATGCTTGACCCAGTGTTCCTTGTCTCCTTGCCCATAGCCATGGTTTTATCCCCTGGCCCTTTGATCTAAGGAGGTGAGTTCTAATCTTAACTGAGTCATTTCTCTCCTGAGAAGCTAAATAAGAGTCAGAAAATATTTCTGGGTAGCTCAGCTCAAAAGCCACCCCGACTTGGGGCTGAGGCCACAATTTTGCATCATTTATTAACCGATGAATCCATGTGTGTTGACAGGGTGGAGGAAGGTGCAGTGCAGGAGGCTCAGCAAGATCTTGGTTTCTCAGTTTTCTGATTCTTATAAGGTAATTTCATTGGTTCAAAGCCACATAAGTGCTTCCCAGTTCAACATGTTCTCCAGGAAGAGATCTTGCCTGCCTGTGGTCAGGAGACACACAGAAGGGAATTGGGGGCCTATGACAGGAACCCATTGGGCAAAGGTGAGCATTGCATTTGGTCAAGATGACAGGACCCTGAGAGTGAGCCCTAGAAAATCTTTCCCAGCAGAGCAGAACCCTGCTGGGGTGGGCGTGAATAAGGCTGAGCCTACAAGAAACCTAGTGGGACCTGGGCATCTTCCACCAGACCTGGCAACACCATTTGCTGCTTACAGCAGCATAGTGTAGAGATTAGGAGTATGGATTCTGGAGCCATAAGGCTTGGGTCCAAATCCCAGCTCTACCCTTTATCCTTTGTTCCCCAGTTTTCCCATCTATAAAATGAGGAAACAGTTGCATAATTACGAGGATTAAATGAGTACAACACTTTGTGAGAGCTCTCTATATGGGTATTATTGCTGCTGCCATTATAGTTCTGGCACCTTCTCTCTGGTCCCTATTATTTTCCTAGAGTTCTTAAGGACTCCCCTCCTGCTGAAATAGCACAAGAACTAATGGTCTTTCCTCCCATGACCTATCTTCCTTTGTGCCGAGGGTTTGTGTGGGGTTTGCTACCTTCATTGTGGAGTATCTAGAAGGAGAGACTGTAGGTTTGTCCTGAGTAGGTGGCCTGTTAGAAATGAAATAAGCTCCCATCTCACACACAGTTTTTCAGTCCTATTTGGTCCCCTGTCCTGTGCTCCCATTTACTGCTCTGCCCTTGCCCCACCCTGCTCTGGCCCTATTGGTCTCCTTGCTATTCTCATTCATGCCACACCTGCCCCCACCCCGAGGGATACTGGCCACTTCCTCCACCCAAAACATTCCATTCCTGGTGCCACCTGCCTGGCTCTGTTGGTGAAGCGGGAGACTCGATCTTGAGGTTGGGAGGTCAAGCCCGACTTTGGGTGTGGAGATCACTTAAATCTTAAAAAAAAAAAAAAAAATACCCTCATCCCATTTTGAGTATCTCCATAGTTCCCTCCCTCAGCCCCCTCCAAATTTTAGCTCAAAAGTCACCTTCTTTGGAGGGCCACCTCACCTTATTTAAGCCCAACCTCTCCCTCCCATCCCACCTTACTCCTTTTATGTCCTTTTTGTTATTAAAAAAAAAAAAAAAAGTAATCTGTACTCTCACTGTGGGGCTCAAACTCATGAGCCTGAGATCGAGTTGTGTGCTCCAGCGACCGAGCCAGCCAGATGCCCCCTATTGTCATCTTTGAACATGCTATGTTTACTGTTTGTTGGCTGTCTTGATGATGAATCTGACCCACCAGTGCCTGGTGGTGGAGTTAATACTTCACAACTGTTTGTCGAATGAGTGGATGACAGCGTAAAGTCTTGGGAGGCATGAGATGAATCAAGCTGTGTGATTCAGCACATTTTAACCTGAGCCTTAGTTTTCCCGTCTGTAACTGGTGACCTACCTCTCATGAGTTCTTTGTGAAGAGTTAAAGTAGACAATGTGCTGAATGAGCCTCAGTTGCCATTCTCTCATTCTTTCCGGCCCTATCAACTCTATTTAAAGAGTCTCCCAAGCCAATTGAATTGCAGTGAACGTTTTCATTTACTTTGGATTATAGGTCGTTATAAATATTAACAAATAAGACTTAAAAAGGACACCTTCCAGGTCAGACGAAAGTACAAAAATTGTGTGTGGGGCTGCAGTTTAAGGACCTTTTCTGCAGCCACCACATGGTAGCAAAACGGTGTTAAGCAGTGCACGAGAGTCTGCGTCGACGACAGCCAGAGTCCATGCATCGGGAGGTTCTCTCGGTTTGAGAAGAAACAAACAGTAGGACATGCACGGGCCGGGAGGTGCAGTTCCTCGCTCTTGCCGCTAGGGGTCAGGAGGTTACCGCTTCAGGGATGGAAGACGGGGCCCGTCTGGGATTGATTGGCTAGTGGTGGGGGTGGAGGAGGATGCAGCGTGCTGTCGGGCGACTTCCTGGTTACTGACACCAAACTTTGGAATGACTTTGTGGTGGTGGTTGGTAGGGAGGGGCGTCAACTTTCCAGTCTTAGACCAGAGGAAAGATGCCAGTTTGGGGCCAAAGGCAGAGAGGATACTGCAGCTTCCCAAAGAGCTTTTTCTTCAGCAGATACAATCTGCGAGGGGTCCAGAGCAGTGCCAGGGTCCTGGTGAAGATTCCCTCCTCCCTGGGGGTAAGCGCGGGGGGGGGGGGGGGGGCTCCTTCCTAAGCACCCCACCCTCCACTGGGGCTGTCTGTCCAGAAGATCCATCTTTTATCCTGACTGTCCCTGGTCACGAGGGACCATCTTTCAGGACCAAGTCTACCCTTGTACAGCCTGGGGCAGTAAAGAGCCCCAAGTGGGCTCCTCGCATTTACTGGGCCTCTGTTTTCCCACTGTCTAATAAGGTAGTTGTTGAGACTCCCAGCCCCTTCTAGCCTTGCCATTCAGTTCAGTATCTTCACAGAAAGTCTGTGGGGTTCTTTTCTGAATGAGGCCCTCCAAGAGGCAAAGCTAAGATACCCAGGGCTCACCCAGACAGGAGGCCTCTCCAAAATAGGCCATCTCTTTGCTTGCTCCCCAAAGGTTCCCCCACGCCAGCCTTGTGGTTAAAAGAGGAACCCTTGCCTGAGCCCCTGTGAGGAGCACGGCCTGGCCCATGGACTCAGAGCCCAGGGAGGGATGGATAGCTGAGCTCTCGGCCTGGACTGTGGGGACCTCTGGGGAAGCTCTGAATGGCAGAAGTGATTTCAAAGCTATCTAGCAGCTGAGGCAGCAGGACTGCCGTGGTCCTACCCCTTCACCATGCACCAGACCCTACCGAGTCTGCTATCTGCTGAACCCTCCAGAAGCCTGGAGGCAGAGGCCCAGAGAGTACGCTCTCCCAGACAACCAGACCATGTGGCAGTCACAGGACCTGGGCTGAGTCCTGGTTTGCCCTTTCCCAGCTGTGTGCCACTGACAGACTACACAGCCTCTCTGAATCTCAGCTTCTTCGTCTGTCAAATGAGGACGACAAACCCACCCCATAGAATTGTGAGGATTCATTGCAAAGTGCACGTAAAACTCTTAACATACACAAAGCTACCTTAAAGACAGGAAAACCAAGGCTCCGTGACCAGCAAAAGTTTTCCAGCTACCGTTTGGGGGCTGGAATCCTGTTCAACCTGCAAAGTGGGAAAGGGCTGATGGGCACTTGGTGGAATTCGAATCATCACCTCAGGCCTCAGATGGTGATGTGCTTTGTGTCTGCAGCAGGCAAGAGTGAGCCCTAGGCAGGCAGCTTACAGGATGGACCTCTTGTGTAGGAGTCCAGCACCCTACTTCCATTGTGTCCATAGCTCTGGGCTGGTGGTGAGGCAGGGGCCATGAAGCCCGGCCTTTGCCAGCTGTGGTAGGGCAGGAAGGCCTCAGGCAGGTCACTTTCCCTCTCTGGGCCTCTGTTTTATCCATCAGCGCAGTGATGGGACACACACAGAAATTCCCTGGTTTTGCATTAGTTCATACAGCAGCCTTGAAGGCCCCTGGGTAGGCAGGAAAAGTTTGGGGCTTCATACCTGGACCCCAAGATTCCAATGCCCTCAACCTGACTCAGCGTGCAAGGCCCACCAAGCAGGGTGTCTCAGCCCTTGGAGGGAGAGGAGCCAGACTCACAGGTCTTCCCAGAAATGAGGCCCTGGACTGCCACCCAGCACTCTGAAAGGAACATCAGTGGCCACAGTAGGGCCAGGATGTAGGGCACTCATCTGGGCCTCTCACTTCCTAGCCCTGAACTCAGAAGTGGGGGGTGGGTGAAGGAAGAGGGTGAGGATGGAGACTTTTTGCTTCGTGAAAAAGGGAAGAGGGACTCTTCGGGACTAGAGCTGGCCTCATGCTTAAGCTGGTAATGAGAGGCTGGATCCATCCTCCAGGTTCTTAGGAGAAAGATTAAAGGTAGGAGAAGTGGGTCTGAGGACTGAACTTGACCTTGACCCATCACTTCCCTCCTATGAACTGGGGTAAGCCTGGCAGGAAGGGATGGGGTGAGAGCAGGGCTGGGTGACATCACCCCTACCCCCATGCCTGTCCTAACAAACCCTGTCTCCAGAGTGAGACCCCACATCTTGCACGGTGATCCTTGACCCAATCACCATACTCTCCCCTCCAGGCCTTTGTAGATCATTTCCACTGCACACAGTGCCTTTCCTCTATCTGCCTAGAAACCCATTCATCCTTCAAGGCCTTGCTGAGGCATCACCTCCTCCAGGAAGCCCTCCCAGCCGAGTCAGAATCCATGGCACTCACCAGTTATGTCAACCTGGCCTTGGCATTCCTCACTCCCTGTTGTAATGGTTTCTAGCTCCCTGATTAGACCAGGAACTCTGAGGGTGGGCCCTGGTTCTCATTCTTCTCCAGCGGCTCGTGGAATCATTGAAGTGCTTGCCAATTGCCCATGTTCAGTGAGCTTGTAGGAACTTGACCATTCTTGCTCTCAGGTCAGCTTTTCTCCATCTGCCCAGTAATGCCAGAGACGAACGGTTGCAGTAAGAGCCTCCTTTTGGGAATAAACTTCTCCAACTTCCCTTCATGCCCCTTTCTCCCTAATGTCCCTCAGGAGTTCTCCCTGGCCCCACCAAGGCCAAGGTGCCCCTGCACTCCTGTTCTCTCCACCTGGGGTCCCCGTGACTTACTACTGACCTCAAATAGGGTCCTCAGCCCCTGGACGGCCCCCTTCCCTTCCCTGGGGTGGGTGCTGAGGCCAAGGTTCTCTCCCATCTCCTGCCCTCTTGGGCCCCAAGGGGGCTGGAAGCAGGCCCAGCTTTCTGGCCTTGCTCTCCCTTGGAGTGGCTAGGTCCTCCACAGCCTCCAAGCGGGAGCTGCAGTGGCTCTGTGTCTGAGCAGCATCCTGGATCTCCCCCAAGATGAGGGCCAAGGCCCTTGGTGGCAGCTGAGGAAGCCCAGGGCCAGGCTGGTGCTGGGCCAGGTGACAGGCAGGGGCGGGTGCGGCAGCAGGTGGGGGCTGGTCAGTCGCTGAGCACAGCCCCTGGGAGTTCATTGGTGAGCGTGTGCCAGCGCTCGATCCTCTTGTCCTTGTTCTTCAGGCAGTCGAACCAGTGCTTCAGGCGCTCACCCTTAGCATTGATGCCCAGAACCACGCCTCCTGCAAGAAAGGAACCGAAGGAGTAGTGAGGGACATGGTGACCTTCTGACTCCCAAGGGCCTGGGGGCAGGGGTTCCCATAAGACTAACCTTCTTGAACCAGTGCCCCCCACCCCAAAACCACCCCCTCCAGGGCTGGACCCTCCACCCTGCCCACTGGGCTCTGAGGGTGAGCAGTGGTTTCACTACCACACCACACTCTTAGCCTGAACCCCATCCCCTCTGCGAAACCAGAGCCCTGGGATCCTGTCCTTCCCCTCTCTAGGGCCAGAGCAGTGATGGGGGTAAGGTGTGGTCACGTCTTAGGAGCCGAGGGATGGAGGCAGCTCCACTATGCACAGCCACGACGCTGATGCCGACGCCCACCAGGAATTCAGGGCCCCGAGGGCTCCGAGTCCAGCCCAAAGCACTGACCATCTTCACCTCTCACCACTGCTCCACACAGGCTGGTGTGTGACCCTCCCAGACCGCTTTCCCTCTCTGGGCCTATCTATTCCTCTGTCACATGGAGTCAGGCTGGATAAAGTCTGAGGCCCCTTGTGCCTGGGGCCAGATAGTCTGGGGAAAGCCGGGGCCATAGAGGCTAGGAAGCAGAGGCTGTGGCCTGGATTCAGGGTCGCTGTCCTCTGCGAACCCAGAACAGGCATGTGGCTAAAGGACATTCTCATTGTGTCCTCTTACCAATGAAATCGTTGGATTTTCCAATGTCATAATCCCAAACAGTGACTTCCAGGGTCTTCTTCGCCAGGTCCCCATGCTTAATCTCGTAACAGAATTCCTGGTGGTCAGAAGAAGAGAGTCAGGGCCAACACCACGGGGTCTGGAACCTGGCCAGTGGCCAGGAAGGCTCTGGGGGTGCGGTGAGGGGCGAATGAATGGAGGGAGAAAGGGAGGGAGAAAGGAAGGGAGAGGGGGAGGGGTGGATGGGAGGGTGATCAGTGCTCAGTGGTAGATGGTGGCAGATCCTCACCTATTCCACCCACTTCTGCCCGAGAACCTGGCTGGGGTCCTCAAGGTCCCCTGCTCTCCAACCTGCCTGGTTCCTCTGTCACTGAAGCTGCTCTCTCCAGATCCCCAGGAGCCTCATTATCACCAAATCAACATACACTTGGCAACCTTAGCATGCTTGACCACTCTTGGGTCTGGCTCTGTTGACCACTCCCTGCCTTGTGAAAGTCTCTCCCCCACAGCTTCTGGGATCATCTGACATCTGGTATCCCCTTCACTCTCTGAAAGCATCTCCTTGGTCTCCTCTGCCTGCCCCTCAGTCACATGGGCTCTTCCCTAGGCCCCTCTGCTCCTCTCCATGTGCCCCTGCCCCCCGAGCTGAAGACCTTGGGATCCACCCGGAGCAGACCTTCTCAAGGCCCTGGGACATCTCAAATCCTCACACCCACCAGAGCTTTCTCCATCTCGCTTGTACCTCCCCTCTTGTTGTCGGGTCCCCCCCTTCCACCGCCACATCCTCATGGCCACAGTCCCAATCAGCTGGATCCTCTGAAGAGCTTTCCGGGATTCCTTGCATCTCCACCTGCACCACTTTGGCCTGGTCCAGCCTGGCCTTGCCTCTCCCCCACCTCTCATGGTTAGGGGCTCTCCTGTTGGCCCCTCCCCACCCCTCAGTTTCCACAGTAACCCTTGGAAAAGCCAGTCTCTCCAGCAAACCCTGACCTGAGGGAGAGCAAGCAGCTTCCCAGCAGCTTCACCAGCCCCTCATACCTCGTTGAACTCGGGGTTCAGGGTCTTCTTCTTTACTGCCGTCTTGTGTTTGGATTTCTTGTCCACATCTGGCTTCAGGTATCTGGAATTAGAACCAACAAATGGGCAGAGGGTGGGGAGAAGCTAAGGGGACAGACAGAGCCAGCAGGGCTTGGAAAAGCCTTTTGTTCTGGAGAGACATCCCTGGGCCCCCCATTCATACTAACCATGGGACACCCCAGCACTACTTTGTGGCCAAGGTTAGTGGTCATCTGCAGTGGGAGGAGAAGCAAGCGGTTCCTTTGTCACCTAGACTTCTGTCCCCACGCCCATTTCGGAAGTTAACCACAGAGTTTTTCCTGGTTTCTGGAAGTCTAATGTTCATAAAGCTTACATTTCCCACCAGAAAAAAAAAATTTTTAGCAGCATTGGTCCCTTGTTAGTTTAAATAGCAGATTTATCAAGATATAATTCACATACTATGAATATCATCTTTCTAAAGTATGTGAAGTATAGTATATAATTATACAGGTGCTATATATAGTATACAACATAATGGTCTATTCCCAGATTATACAACCATTGCCTCTGCCTCACTGGAGCTTTGAGGAAGTTACAACAGTGCTTTCTGTAGGGAGAGTGAAGCCTGGCGTAGGAGCCAGTTCCTTTATAAGGAACTAATACCTAGACTTTGATACAGAAGGACTGCTTTCATCAGGCTCAGAGAGGTAGAGGGACTTGCCAGGCCACACAGCTGCTCAGCACAGGGCTGGTGCTCACAACCCAGGACAGGAGTTCCTTTGCAGAACTGCTCACCCTGTCCCTGCATAGACACTTGAGTGAGAACTGTCCTTCCCCTGCTAAGAGTTCTTTGGGCGTGAGGACTACATCTGTCTCACTCACCACCAGCTTCCTGGCACCCTGCTTGGGGCTCAGTACACTGGGTAGGTCAACAAACACCTGCTGAATGAATGCATGAATTCCTAGAAGTGACATTACCCGCCCAAAGGTACACACGTATCAAGTTTCTTGCTTCATTGTGCCAAACTGCCCTCTGCAAAGGCTGTATGGATGATGCATCGTACCCTCAACAAAGCTGAGTATGGCTGCCTTAAAACTCCTTGCTGGTTTGCAATCATCTGTTGGACATCAGTCTTAGCAACGTATTTATGGATGGGTCTCCTCAGGCAAGGGAAACAGAAGCAAAAATAAACTACTGGGACCATACCAAAATAAAAAGCTTGTACACACAAAGGAAACCATTAGTAAAATGAAAAACACAACTTACTGAAAGAGAGAAAATACTTGCAAATGATAGATCTGAGAAGGGGTTAATACCCAAAATATATTAAAAATTTTTTAACATTTATTTTTGAAAGAGCAGGGAAGGGGCAGAGAGAGGAAGACAGAGGATCAGAAGTGGGCTCTTCACTGATAGCAGAGAGCCCAATGTGGGGCTCAAACTCACAAACCATGAGATCATGACCTAAGCCCAAGCCGGATGCTTAACTGAGTCACCCAGGTGCCCTTAATACCCAAAATATATAAAGAACTTACACGCTCAACACCAAAATCCCCCAAATAATCTGATTAAAACATGGGCAGGGAACCTGAATAGACATTTTTCTTTAAAAATAAGATTTTAAAAAAGCCTGTAAAGTTTATTTATTTTGAGAGAGAGGGAGCACATGAGTGAGAGAGGCAGGGAGAGAGGGAAAGAGAATCCCAAGCAGGCTCTGCACTGTCAGCGCCGAGCCCAATGCAGGGCTTGGACTCACGAACCATGAGATGATGACCTGAGCAGAAATCAAGAGTTGGATGCTTAACCAACAAAGCCACCCAGGCGCCCCTAAGTAGACATTTTTCTGAAGTATACAGATGGCCAACAGATACATGAAATCAATAATCATCATGGGAGTATAAATCAAAACCACCGGGAGATACCACCTTACTTACACCTGTCAGAAATGGCTAGCGTCAAATAGACAAGAAGTAAGTGTTGCTGAAGAGGTGATGAGGAACCCATTCCTTGTTGGTGGGAATGCCAACTGGTGCAACCACTGTGGAAAACAGTATGGATGTTACTCAAAAGAGTAAAAGTAGAAATACCATATGATCCGGTAATTCCATTACTATTTACCCAAAGAAAACAAAAACACTAATTCAAAAAGGAATGGATATTCCCGTGTTTACTGAAGCATTATTTACAATAGCCAAATTATGGAAGCAACACGAGTATTCACTGATAGATGAATGGATAAAGAAAATGTGGTATATGTATGTATATGCATGTATATATATATTTGTTCTATATACACACAAGGGAATATTAACCCTAAAAAAATGAGAGCTTTTCATTTGTGGCAACATGGATAGACCTAGAGAGTATTATACTAAGCGAAATAAGTCAGAGAGAGAAGTACCATATTCTTTCCCTTACATGCAAAATCTGAAAACCGAAGCAAATGAGTAAAAAACCAGAAACATCCTCATAAACTGAAACAAACTAGTAGTTGCCAGAGGGGAGGGACAGGAAGGAAGGGACAGGTAAAACCGGTGAATGGAATTAAGAGGTACAGATTTCCCGTTATTTATCGTTTATTTATTTTTGGGACAGAGAGAGACAGAGCATGAACGGGGGAGGGGCAGAGAGAGAGGGAGACACAGAATCGGAAACAGGCTCCAGGCTCTGAGCCATCAGCCCAGAGCCCGATGCGGGGCTCGAACTCACAGACCGCGAGATCGTGACCTGGCCGAAGTCGGACGCTTAACCGACTGCGCCACCCAGGCGCCCCCAGATTTCCCGTTATTTAAAAAAAAAAAAAAAAATCCTTGCTGGCTTGAAAGGCAGCAAGTGTGATAGATCATTGTTGGCTTTTTCAGTTGTGGTTTTTAGTACATAAAAAACACTAGTTCGTTATAGGAACACTAGAAGATACGTACTGGAGAAACTTGGAGGTGGGAAAGAGAAATGAAGACGTAGATCCACACAAAATACCTGTTTAGCAGTGCTATGCAGTTTATCAATAACTGGAAACTCACAAAAACCAACAGGAAACAATGAACAAAATGCAAGTAAGTACACACCTATCAATAATTACTTTAAATCTACATGGTCTAGGGGCGCCTGGGTGGCTCAGTCGGTTAAGCGGCCGACTTCGGCTCAGGTCATGATCTCGCGGTCCGTGAGTTCGAGCCCCGCGTCGGGCTCTGTGCTGACAGCTCAGAGCCTGGAGCCTGTTTCAGATTCTGGGTCTCCCTCTCTCTGACCCTCCCCCGTTCATGCTCTCGGTCTCAAAAATAAATAAATGTTAATAAATAAATAAATAAATAAATAAATAAATAAATTTACATGGTCTAAATGCTTACAAGGCATGGGGTTACAGAATGGATTAAAAAAAGGGAAAAAAAGACTCATCTATAAGCTGCCTAGAAGGGGCTCAGTTCAGACTTAAAGACAGACTGAAAATGAGGGGGTGGAAAAAGAAATTACATGCAAATGGAAGTGGGGGTGGGGGGAAAGCTGGGGTAGCAATACTTGCATCAGACAAAACAGACTTTAAAACAGAGACAAAGAAGGGCAGTATATAATGATAAGGGGATCAGTCCTACAAGAAAATATGAGAGTTATAAATATGTATACACCCGACATTGTAGCATCTAAATACATAAAGACATAAATACTAACAGACATAAAGAACACAACTGACAGTAATACGGTAATAGTAGGTGACTAATACCCCAACAATTACATCAATGGATAGACCATCCAGGCAGAAAATCAATAAGGAAACTGTCTTTGAATGGCACATTAGACCAGCTGGAACATTCTCCAAGATTGACCACCTGTTAGACCACAAAACAAATCTCTATATTTAAGAAGACTGAAATCACATCAGACATTTTTCCCAACAATAAGAAACTAAAAATCAATTAAAAGAAAGAACTGGAAAAACCCACACATGGAGGATAAACAACATGCTACTAAACAACCAGTGGGTTAACAAAGAAATCAGACAAAATTTAAAAATACATGGAGACAGGGCACCTGGGTGGCTCAGTTGGTTGAGCATCCAACTTCAGCTCAGGTTATGATCTCACGGTTTATGAGTTCGAGCCCCGCGTCCGGCTCTGTGCTGACAGCTCAGAGCCTGGAGCCTGCTTTGGATTCTGGGTCTCCCTCTCTGTCTCTCCCCTGCTCATGCTCTGACTTTCTCTCTCAAAAATAAACAAACATTAAAAAAATACATGGAGACAAAAATGAAAACACAATGGTCCAAAATCTTTGCGATGCAGTGAAAGCAGTTTTTTTTTTTAATTTTTTTTTCAACGTTTTTATTTATTTTTGGGACAGAGAGAGACAGAGCATGAACGGGGGAGGGGCAGAGAGAGAGGGAGACACAGAATCGGAAACAGGCTCCAGGCTCTGAGCCATCAACCCAGAGCCTGACGCGGGGCTCGAACTCACGGACCGCGAGATCGTGACCTGGCTGAAGTCGGACACTTAACCGACTGCGCCACCCAGGCGCCCCCAGTGAAAGTAGTTCTAAGAGAAATTGACAGAGATACAGTCCTACCTCAAGAAACAAGAAAAATCTCAAACAATCTAACCTTACACCCAAAGGAACTAGAAAAAGAACAAAGCCTAAAGTTAAAAGAAGGAAATAATAAAGATCAGAGTGGAATAAATGAAATAAAGACTTAAAAACAGGAAAATACCAGTGAAACTAAGGGCTGTTGTTTAAAAAGATAAACAGGGGCACCCGGGTGGCTCAGTCAGTTAAGCACCTGAACACAGAACCCATAATTATTTCTTTTTTGAAATATTTTGAAAGCAAGTGAGCGAGCAGGGGAAGGATACAGAGAGAGAAGGAGACAGAGAGTCCCAAGCAGTTTCTGCATGGTCAGTGCAGAGCCCAACATGGGGCTCAAACTCACAAACCATGAGATCATGACCTGAGGTGAAATCAAGAGTCTGATGCTTAACCAACTGAGCCACCCAGGTGCCCTTAGAGAGCCCATAGTTAAACCCATGCTTATATGGGTTAATTAATATACAACAAAGGAGGCAAGAATATATAGTGGGGAAAAGATGGTTTCTTC